ATTACAATGGCTTGTGGCCCTCCAAAACCAACTCTTCTAAACAAGGTCTTTATTTTTTTTTAAGTTTATTTATTTATTGTGTGAGAGAGAGAGAGAGAGCAAGAGCGAGCAGGGGAGGGGCAGAGAGAGAGAGAGAGAGAGAGGAGAGAGAGAGAATCCCAAGCAGGCTCCACGATGTCAGCCCATAGCCCAACTCGGGGCTCTATCCTACGACTCTGGGACCATGACCCGAACTGGAATCAAGAATCAGATGCTCAACCAACTGAGCCACCCAGTTGCAATGCAAACCCAGCCCCAATGCAAACTTTCTGGGTGGAAATTCGATAGACAACATCCACTAAAACTTGAAATGAACATATGTGTATTTTGTTTTATGGTGGCAAAGACCTACAATATTCTATCAGTTTTAGGTGTGCATGATAGCGATTTGACAATTGCACAAATCATGCAGCATTCACAAGAAGTGCGGTCACCATCTGTCATCATACCACGTTATTCCAATATTATTGACTGCCTTCCTTATGTTTTCACCACCATGACTTGGTTACTTTAAAACTGGAACTTTCTACCTCTCAATCACCTTCACCCATCTCACCCATATCTGTTTCTTTAGAGCAAGCAAGTCATTCAACCTGTGAGAAAACTTGTAAATGCATGTGAAGATGTAAAAATTAGATACATGTGCAGTCTCGTTCGTGATAGAAAAAACTGGAAATGCTATCTGTCTGCTCATAGGTTAAATAGATTACAGTATATTATGCCACAATCTGTGTAATGCTCTGCAGTCTTCAAAGAACCGGATCCATTTGTGGTTATGTTTAAAGTTTATCTAAGTAGTCTCTGCCCCCAACATGGGGCTCGAACTCATGACCCTGAGACCAAGAGCCGCATGCTCTACTGACCGAGGCAGCCAGGCACTCCCGATTTGTGGCTTAAAAAAAAAAATCTCCAAGACACGAGGAGGGAGCAAGATGTAAAATGGCAGATGATATAGGGACCCATTCGTGTGAATGTTTAGTAGCACATATAGGTAGACACATGCAAACTATTTTCCGAAAAGAAATATCAAACTGTGTCTGAGGGATGCTTCAAGAGGAAGGCATCAGGGGAGGAAAGCTTGTTTTTGTTTGGACTTTTCTCCTATAGTTAACATTTTTTACCATGTGTATACATTATTTTGGTTTAAATAAAGGCATACACATAAAATTACACACTTTATGCTTTTTTGGGTTTTTTTTGTTTTGTTTTTGAGAGAGAGCATGAGCACGGGAGGGACAGAGGGAGAGGGAAAGAGAAATTTAGGAAGGCTCTATGCCCAGCACAGAGCCAGACATGGGACTCAATTCCGCGACAATGAGAGCATGACCTGAGCTGAAATCAAGAGTCGGACACTTAATCGACTGAGCCGCACAGGCGCCCCGGAATAGTTCTTGGGGCGCCTGGGTGGCTCAGTCGGTTAAGCGTCCGACTTCGGCTCAGGTCACGATCTCACGGTCCACGAGTTAAGCCCCACATCAGGCTCTGTGCTGACAGCTCAGAGCCCGGAGCCTGCTTCGGATTCTGTGGCTCCCTCTCTCTCTGTCCCTCCCCCGCTCACTCTGTCTCTCTCTCAAAAATAAACACCGAAAAAATATTTTTTTTAAATAAGCGAAATGCTTTTTCTCAAACATCATGTATCACTTTTACAAAAAGTCAGGTATCTCCCAAGGAAAAACAAGAGGCCCCAAGGGAGCACAGGGACGTAGGGAGAAGCTGGAGTCCGAGGGTGGATGGATAACAAAAAAAGCCCCCCAGTCCCTCTCCTCCAGCCCTCCCTCGTAGCACCAACATGCTTCCCGCGCCCAGAATCTCCACAGGACAGCAGCAAACCAGCTGTGCGAAGCGCACGAGGAGGGGAGTGGGGACACGCACACACGGAACGCATCCTCCGGGGATTCCGCGGCAGCTTCGGGGCGATTCGCTAGATCTCCCCGTGTAGACCGAATTCCACTTCTTGGTATTTTCCATAAGAAACAAACGCACATCCACGAGGACCCGCGTGTTAGGATGTGCACACGAACGTCCGTAGCCACTTTATTCACAATGGTAAAAGCCACTTTATTCACAATGGCCAAGCACCGCTTGGCTTAGTGGGCTAGGGCTACCACCACAGGAGCACCACAGGCTGGGGGTCAAGGACATTCCTGCAGGCTGGAAGTCCAAGCTCAAGGCATCGGGCAGGCTGGTTCCTCCCGAAGCCTCTCTCCTTGGCTCGGGGACGGCCATCTTCTCCCTGTGTCATCACGTGGTCCTTATATTGGAGTAGGGTCCACCTTAATGACCTCATTTTAACTCCATTATTTCTGTAAAGGCCTCATCTCCAAAGACACTCACATTCTGAGGTCCTAGGGGTCAGGGCTGAAACACGAGTTTTGGGGGCACACGATGGAGCCCATAATACAAGTCAAAAGTCCATCGGCAGATGAATGGGAAGCCAGAGGTAACTGTGTGCTTCTCTACAGCGGGCACAATGTAGCCATAAAGGAGCAAACTAATACCCACGGTGACGTGAATCCGCATCAGAGACACAAAGGAAGTGGCCCCACACGATAGCACTTGTGTGAAATCCTCAAACCACTACCTGAAGTCAGAACTGAGAGGCTCTCTGAGGGTCCCAGGGTGATGAGAGTTTCTAACACGTCCACCTGAGCAGGGGTGAGGACACGGGCAGGCACGCGCGTAAAAAGTAATTCAGCTGAGGGGGCGCCTGGGTGGCTCAGCCGGTGAAGCACCCGACTTCGGCTCAGGTCATGATCTCGCTGTTCGCGGGTTCGAGCCCCGCGTCGGGCTCCGTGCTGACGGCTCGGAGCCTGGAGCCGGCTTCGGATTCTGTGTCTCCCTCTCTCTCTCTCTGCCCCTCCCCTGCTCATGCTCTGTCGCTGTCTCAAAAATAATAAATAAACGTTAAAAAAAATAATAATAATTCAGCTGCGCTTATAAGATCTACACACCTTAATGAAATCCAGAGGGGAAGAAAGCAAGGTTCAGTCACAGGAAGAAGACCCCCAAGCCCAGCCATGATTCTTGACGGAGTCCATTAGATCAGAGGCCACAAAAGGATCATCGAAATCCATTCTCTCGCCTGCATCTATCAACTGCCATTCTATTGCAGACAGAGCTTTCTCCTCACCGGTGGGCACCACCTGCGTACTAAATACCGTTCGTGCCACAAGGAAGGCCTGAGTTCCCCCTCTGAATGACCTCGAAGTGCAGCCATCGCGTTTAATAAGTCACCTCAAATGGTCACGAGGCTTTGAGCCACCAGGGGATTTCATTGATCAAATGTACCGCAATCTACTACAATCGCCATTCTTGTCACGTCCCCAATTCCACTAGGGTCTCCTTCCCACGAAAAGGCTGAACTAAACTCTGACAGAAGGAAGAACATTCTCTGCCAGGCAGGCAGGGCAGTGGAAGCTGCTGGAAGCCACGTCCCCTCCCTCTGCCCCACACCAGCACAGCAGCGCCCCCTTGGTCCACAGCCCGGCTCAGGCGAGTGCTCTCGGGGTACACGGAGGCAGGTGTGCCTCAAAAGGCAGTCACTCACCTGGGCCACCCCTCGAGGGACAGCCCGCTGCCCAGCTGAGACCTAATGGCTGAGCCACAGCGGAAAACAGCTTCTACCACTTACGCTAAAGTGAATCCTCAAGTTCTTGGTTAGCGTGTTGCATACCCGAAACATAGACTCCCAACTGGAAACAAAAATCACGAAAATAAGGGAATTCAGGTTGGCTAGGTAAAACGAAACAAAACAACCACCTAGTACACAAAGTCAATAATCAATACGAGTCAATCTTTCTGTAGAAGCAAAGAACCACTGCTTAAGAAAGGAGCCTCGGGACGCCTGGGTGGCGCAGTCGGTTAAGCGTCCGACTTCAGCCAGGTCACGATCTCGCGGTCCGTGAGTTCGAGCCCCGCGTCGGGCTCTGGGCTGATGGCTCAGAGCCTGGAGCCTGTTTCCGATTCTGTGTCTCCCTCTCTCTCTGCCCCTCCCCCGTTCATGCTCTGTCTCTCTCTGTCCCCAAAAAAATAAATAAACGTTGAG